TTGCTCATTCAATGCCGTTTTGTTATAATGAGATGCCGTAGGAACGCAACGCTGGTGTATATCAATTGGCCTATGGTAAAATTGGTTTTGTTATATGCCGTTTCATTCAAAGTCGCAAAACCTCTTGCCGATGTTGAGGACTTACTGTATTCTAAAATGCTAATTCTCAAACCTTCAGCTTGCAGGTCCTCACAGCTGTTCCCATGCCTGCTTCCAACACCCTGTGGGCTGAGAAGCCAAGTGGCCCGCCTCGTTAGCATTCTGTGTGAAGCAGGGTTTCTAGGTGCAGAGCGGGGCTGTGTCTTTGACAAACAGGCGTTAGCCCTTGCACATGGCTTGCATGAGATTCAGCTGGGTTGCTCATTTGCATGTTTTTGCTTACTTCCTGGTTCATGGCTGGGTTTTTGAGAGTGGAAGCAGCTGAATCGGCACCCTTTCTACCTGATTTACAAACTGGAATGTGACCGGACTCCCAGAGGAAGTTTGCAAAGTTGCCAGGAGGCCTATTCTGTCCTCTCCGGTGGGACGTGGGCCTCTGAATTTTGAAAAACTGCATTTGGGACCATCAGTATTTACTGAGCACCTACTGTCTGCTCACACCTGCCCGGCACTATGGACAAGAAACCCTGCAAGCCCAGTCCTCATGCATTAATTACAACATCAAATTGAGTGGATGAGTGGCAACACAGGAAGCCTGCCTCCCCTGCAGACAGGGAGGGCTGGTGGCCGGTGCTGCAGCTCAGAGGGAGGGAGGCCCCCGGGGGTGGTGAGAACAGCCTGCGTGTGGGGCCCACAAACTTGGCTCTGAGTTTCTGCCCGTGGGCCTGACCTGCCAGCGCACTCATATCCCCTCTAAACATCAGTGCCCCCTCTGTGCAGGGGGAATAAGCCTCTCTCCGCCCCGGGGTTGCATGCGAGACCGCCTGAGAGAGCACGGTGTGACTAAAGCACGCTCCACGTGTGCAGTGAGGCTCTGCAGGCCTCGGGGAACCCCGACCCGCTCGGCCACTTCCAGCGGCGAGGCTGTGCAGGGAGCGGGGGAGCCTGGCGGGGTCTCATCAGGCAGGGAGCAGCCCCCCGCACGCTGGACCCTCCTGCTGGAGGCCTGACCCTCACACCAACCCGCCTGTGACGCTGCCTCATGTCTTCTGCTGCCTCCTGGCTCCTGCTCGCTGCCGTCGCCTCATGCAATCCTCGCCTGCTGCCCATTAGTGGTCCTCTGCTCCTTACGCGTCCGGGGGGGAGAGAGCTGGCTGGACGAGCCACTGTTCAACACCAAGGCCCCCCCAGGGCAGAGTTCCAGGCTGGGCCACCCTTCCTCCAGGCCCCTCTGCACAGCTAGCCAACTGGTAAGTGTCAGGCCAAACCTTGGCCGGGGCAGTTGCGGCCAGGGTGTGGGCTCCTATGCCCAGCAGTGCCAGCTGTGCCTCCAGGGGCTGTGGGTGTGGCTTGCCCTGGGAGAGAGCAGTGCCAGTCTATTGCAGAATGTGAGCTATTTTTATAGAGGGAGGACAACACTGAAGCAGTCATCTGGCCGGCAAACAGCACCTGCCTGTCACGTCTCATGTGCCACTCAGCAGGGCCAGCCACAGGCCACGCTGCGCAATCTGGGAAGGTTGTGGTGTCCCCGGTCTCCACGTGCTGCAGGTTTCACTGGGGGAGACACCCTCTTCTCAATGACCCCTGCCTCCAGGCTCTGGCACCTCTGTGTGTGCTCCCCAATCCCGTGATTAAAACTGCACACGCCCTGGCCCGCGTGGCTCCGGGCACTGAAAGGTTGCCGGTTGGATTCCTGGTCAGGGCACATGCTTGGGTTGCAGGCAAGATCCCGGGTAGGAGGCATGCAGGAGGCAGCCGAGAATGTTCCGCTCTCACATGAATGTTTCTCTCTCCCTCTCCCTTCCTCTCTCTCTAAAACTTAATTTTAAAATCTTTTAAAAACCCCTAAAACTGCACACAGCGTTTCTCCACAAGGTGGTCACTGCAGCATTGGCCAAAGGACAGAACCAGCTACCTGTCAGCTGTGGGTAACATGTCAGTTACCCATAGTTGCTGTATTTCTATGATGGCCTGCACGTATGCATTAAGAGTCATGTGACCAAAGAATATTTAGTGACGCGGTATAGTAGCAAAGGACAGTGCCAGTTTGGTATTATGTGTGTGTGTGTGTGTGAATACGTTTGTGTGCACTCACCTACACATACATCACTTACACAGGAAAAAGACTAGAAGATTTTTGTGTAAAAATGTGAGGGGAGATTATCGCTGAGTAATATTTTATGAGCAAATTTTGTTTTCTTATTTAAGCTCTTTTTCTACATTTTCTACAACACATGTGTTATTTTTGTAATCGGGAAAAACACACTCCCATAAATATTAAAAAAACAAACAAACAACCAAATCCTGTCCTCAGAAAAGAAATTTCCAACTCCTTTCCCTTCCACACACTTGAAGGATTCACGGTTCCCAGGAGGGAGAGTTGTGTTTTCCGGGAAAATGCAGTTTTCCACTGAAGGTCTGACGTTCTACTGGTGGAATGTGGAGTCCAGCCACCTACCAGGGCGGTGTGGCGGGCGGGCGGGCGGCGGGCAGCGCGGCCTCCAGTCTCCCTCGTGGGGAGGCGGTGAAGGTGCCGGAGGAGGGGGAGGTAGAGGAGTCAGAGAGGACAGGGCCAGAACACTTCCCAGACGGATCACCTCGTCACCAACATATTAAACGGAATTATGGACATTTATGTTGTCAGTGACAGCAGTGACGGAGTTTTTGTTTCCCTTCAGGGAAAAATCACTGCACTTTCCCGCCAAAGGGAAGAGAAGGAGAGAGAGAAGTCTTAACAAACGCTGTCAAACTGTCACCATAGACGACTTCTGGGCGTGTGGGGGAGGGGAGACAGGGCATTTGCCTTTTAACTTTGTCTTTTTTACAGTTGAAGAGAGCATCGCTGGTGTGTGGGTTTTTGGTAGTCTTCAATTTTTTTTTTTTTTATTGTGAACACAAGATACCTTTGTCATCAGGGGAAAACGGCATAATGAGGGGACCAGACATGTGGTTGTCCATTGGGTGGCCATCCTGCTGTCCCCACCTGCAGGCCGCCCACCACTCTCGCTCTGGGGCCAGGAACCTTGGGCTGCCCCCACGCTCACTCGGCACGGGTGGGAAACAGGCCCAGAGCAAGCTGCCTTGGGCCTCCACTCTGCCACTTTGGCCCCTCCGGTCAAATCTCTGAGCCCCGGGCAGCAGACCTGGGCAGCCGGCTCATTTCAAAGTCAAGGTCTTAGCTGTCTCTCTGAGCTTGACCCCATCGGTGCCTCCATGCCCTCTGCCAGCTGCCAGGCCTCCCGGCTTACCTGGACTCCAGCCTGACGCCTCTGACCAGCCCTGTCCCGGGGCCGGGACTGCCCAGGCATTTCACTCACTTGGCTGAGAATCGGGGCTGCAACTGCAATCTCAGGAGGGCGCCTCCAGCCTTCACGCGGCTGTCAGGCGTTTACTTGACCTTGGAGACAGACCAAGGCTCGCCCTCTCGGTCAGCAGGTGAGCATCGCACGAGGTACACAGAGAGCCCTGAGCCAGAGGGTGCGGGGCCCTAACTTTATGAGGCCGCCTGCCAAAGCACCACAGACTTCGGGGGAGCGGGGGTGGGGGCAGGGGGGAGGGCTGAGACACCTGTCAATCACACCTCCTCTGTAGAATGGAGCCGATAATGAGGCCTTTCATCCAGGGCTCCATCAGGAGCAAATCGGTTAATGTATATGGAAATGCTGTGTGAGCTGCACCTGCTTAACTGATATTTTCTGTGAAAACCCATCCTGGTGCTTTGAGTTCTCAAGTGCTTGTTACCCACTCATGACGCCTGCTCAGTGCTCAGCTCAATTCCCCAGCAAGTCGAGAAATAGAAGATGCCGGGTCGTCACCAAGGAACCCGTGCTCAGTTGGGGAAACAGAGCGCTCGCATTAAACGTTCATTTTCTTTCTGTCAGTGATGGGGGGCTTCAGCCAGGAGACACTCAGCCGGTGGGGCGGGACGGGGCGGGACGGAGGTTTGCAGGTGGACAAACCTGAGTACCAACGGGAGCTCTTCCCCTCAGTCGGTTCCCTCACGGAGCCTCAGTTTCCCGGGCTGTGAAAAAGGAACAGGGACGCCCAGCACATGACATCGCGGTGAGAATGAAGGAAAGCGATGCCTACAAAGTGCCCGCCGTGGGCAATATTATAAACACATCTACAGCGAGGAAATCAACAAGCCCCGCCCCCCCTTTTGGAAAAGTTATTTTTAATTACGGTAAAATACAAATTTACCCTCTTAACCATTTGTTAAGTGTGCACACTTCCGCAGTGGTAAGTTCACACTGCTGAGCAGTCAATCTCCAGAACTTTCTTCATCTTGCAAAACTGAAACTCAATACCCATGAATACCCATTCCCGTTTCCCCTCCCCCACCTTCTCAGTCGCCGCCATTCTACTTTCTGTTTCTGTGAACTTGACCACTTCAGTTTCCTCCGTAAGTGGAACCACGCAGTGTCTGTCCTTTTGCATCTGGCTTATTTCACTCAGCACAGCACCCTCCAGGCTCGTCCGTGGAGCGTGTGTCAGACCTCCATTCCTTTTGAAGGCTGAGTAATATCTCATTGCATGGATAGATCAGATTTTGTTTATTCATCTTCGGTGGACATTTAGATGGACGTTCCCCCTCTTGGTGGAATTGGAGGTAACACTGCAATGAACATGCGTGTGCAAATATCTCTTTGAGACCCTGCTTTAATTCTTTTGGATGTGTGCCTAGAAATGGAATGTATGCTGGATCATATGGGAGTTTTATTTTATTATTTTTTTTAGGACCTTCCATACTGTTCTCCAGTTGCATCACTTTACAATCCCACCATTCACCCTAGCTGGTTTGGCTCAGTGGATAGAGTGTCAGCCTGCAACCTGAAAGGTCCCAGGTTCGACTCCGGTCAAGGGCACAAGCCTGGGTTGCAGGTTCGATCTCCAGTAAGGGGTGCCCAGGAGGCAGCCGATCAATGGTTCTCTCTCATCATTGATGTTTCCATTTCTCCCTCTCTGATATCAATGAAAAAAAATATATATATTAAAAAAAAAGAGTAGCCATCCTCATGGGGTGAGGTAAACAGGTCTCTTTTTGCAGCACTATTGAAATTTCTTCTCACCACCCCAGCAATGCTTCTAATGAGTCTGATTGCGGGATTGACCCAGCATTGGTCACAGGACAGTGTTCTCTGTGACCTTGAGAGCCGAGCGAAGTTGGGCAGGATGCCAGTGCTCTCGACCAGCTGAGAGCTGTCCTCCAGGGCCCGCGGCTGGAGAAGGACACGCGTGCGGTGCCGAGCAGCCCACGACTGCCGCTATATTTGCTTTGGCTGAAAAGATGCCACCAAGGAAACAAGGCGCCCGCCAGGGTGGCCGATGCCCTGCCACCCTTCCCGGTGGCCTCTCACCGCTGTCATCTGCCCCTGACATCTCTCCCAAGGTGACCTTTGGTGAAGACCCCGCTGAGGAGCTTGAAACCAGGTTGTTGGGCTCTGTTGAAGGGACTTGGGGGCAAGGCCTCGAGACGTGATTGACGGCCCAGGACAGAGGTGGCCTGCACTGGGCGCTGCGCAGCCACAGGAGGTCTCTGCACTTGCGAGGCTGGGTTGAAAGCTCCGGTGCTGCCCAGGAGAAAGGGACGGGCAAGAGAAAATTCCAGACAGGAGGCTGGCTCCACAGAAAGAGAACACCAGTAGGCTGTTAGGGGTGCAGTTGACCAGCTCTCACAGTGTTCCCCCAAAAGAGACAGTGGGTGTTGTGGTTACATCACAGCTTGTATAGTCAGAAGACTCAGGCCAAAACCCGATCAGCCTCCACCGCTGTGTGGTCTTGAGCAAGCGATGGAAACTCTCCGAGCCTCAGTTTCCTTATCTGTAAAATGGGAACAAAAACACAACCTCAATGAATTGTCGTGAATCAGTACTGTTTATCAAACAGCTGTTGTTCACTAAGCACCCCTTGTAGGCACGCAGTATGATACAGTGGTCAAGAACGAAGGCTCTCGGGCTTGACAGACCTTGCTTAAAAACCCAGATCTGCTACTTGTTAACTGAGGGACCACAGAAAAGGCTATTACCCTCCCTGCTTATATCCTATATCATAAAAGGCTAATATGCAAATTGTCCCCTCAACCGGGAGTTCAATCAGGGGGTGGGGACGGTCAGCCAGCCTCCCGCATCCCCTCCCCCTGGCCGGCCCGGCCCGATAGGCCCCGATTGGGGGTGGCCAAGTGGACTCCTCCCGTGCACGAATTCATGCACTGGGCCTCTAGTATATATATACTAGAGGATATATTTAAAATATTTTTTTATTTATTTCAGAGAGGAAGGAAATGAGAGAGAAAGAGAGAGAGAGAGAAACATCAATGATGAGAGAGAATCATTGATCAGCTGCTGCCTGTGTGCCCCACACTGGGGATCAAGCCCACAGCTGGGGCATCGAACTGTGACCTCTTGGTTCATAGGTTGATGCTCAACCACTGAGCCAGGCTGGCCGGGCAATCTGCTCATATTTAAAATGGGAATGATAATGCCTGTCACCCCAGGCTGACACAGGCATTGGTGAGGTCTCACACAGTGCTTTAATGCAACAAATGTTCATGACATGCCTACTATGTGCCAGAACTGTGCGAGGGGCAGGAGATCAAAGGTGAATTGGACCTACCCTGCCTTCAGGAAGTCATCTGTAATGGACAAGGAACTTCAATATTGAGGTGGGGAAGGCTGGGGAGCAGAGTTAGGAGGCCTGGGGCAGCATTTGCAAAGTGCCTTTACATAAAATAAAAGTGTGCGGAGCTGATGGGTGGTGGGAGGCGGCATCCTGAGGCTTGGGGCCCATCCTGGTGTCTACGCCAGCCCAGCCCAAGGAGAGGCTCCAGGCAGCTCGTGAGGGGACTGGTCTGGAGTGACGCTGCCAGGAGACTGAGGGCTGCAGGGCTGGGCTGTGGCCCTGGAAGAACACTGGCCTGGCATCTGGGCCCAGGAGAGAGGGCAGTCGTCCTGCCCAAAGGCCTCCAAGAGACCCACTGCTGACCCTCAGGCCCTCACTTTCCCTGGAAGAGTGCCCCAGGCACACTTTTCCCGCCTCCTAGCTGGCTGAGAGCTCTCGGGAGCAGACACGTTGGCGGGGGCTACTTTCACCCCCACCTCCCCACGGTCAGTCCAGCACGTGCCCGCTGCCTGTGTGCGGTCACATTCTTATGCGCCCAGGCTCACAGCCTCCAGCCCCAGGAGGGAGCCTGCTCCTGTCCCCAGAGACGCGTGGGAGCCGGACAGGGCAATGCGGTCGGAGCAGGAGAGGAGAAGAGCTGGGTGGGCACCCTGGCCGAGGCCAAGGGACGCAGGACTGGCCCTGGGGGTGTCACTGCCCCCAGCAGCTGCACCTCAGAGCGCCTGCCTGGGCCAGCTCTCCCTCCCTCGCCCAGCCACCAGCTTCTCCTCCTCCAAGCCTGTCACCATTTCCACACACAGCAGGGCCTGTGGGGGTGGCGGCTTTTCCCAGACATGTACTTAAGTGAGGAGCGAAAACAAGGCGAGTGGCCAGGGATTTGCAAGATCAGTAGGCAGGAGCGCAACCCAGGAAGGAGGCCAAGAATAAGACAGCGAGGGTCACCCTCCTCTGCTGAGCAGGGACGCCCACGGGGCGCTGAACTTGCTATAATGGCACTTTTGTTTGAGGGCGGCCCTTGATCCCAGGGCATCGGTCTCCTGGTCAGAAGGCAGCAGAACCCTGATTGTGGGCAGTGAGTAACGGTGACTCAGGGAAATTTGCAAGGACGCAGGGAACACCCTGAGTCACGGGGACATGCCCTGCTTCCCCCTGCTGGCCAGGGAGCCAGGAGTCCTGGCCCCCGCCGGGAAGGAGAAATTCCTGAAGTTTTCCCTGGAACTTCGGCAGAATTCCACGGCATCTTTCAGAGGAAGCATTTGGCTTTGGGTGTTTTGGGGGCGTGGGGGTGGGGGGGGCGGAGAATTACTAAAATGTTTTCACCTTTATCTCTATTTATGAGTTAGCTCCTTTTCTGTTTTAGCTCCAAAGTATAATTACCTCTTTATTCTGATGGGGCATTGGTTACCGATGTGCTCAGAGAGCAAATGCTGACAGAATTGCAGTAGCTAACATTTGTTCAGCCCTCATGATGGGCCAGGGACTGCTTTCTCCATGTACCTTGTGTCTCATCAAACCCAAGGCTCCCCGGGTCTTCAGATTCACCGTGATGTATGTGCCACTGAAGAATGCGAGTCATGCCGTTGGTTCTAAGATTCACCCGGATGGCAGAACTGTGAAAATGGGGCTCTTCGAATCATAAAATGCAGCAACTAATCCTCACTTGCCATCCTTGCCTTATGGGTGGGTAAACCGAGGGCCAGAGGCTGAGGAACCCGCCCCGATGTCACACAGCACGTGTGGCGCAAATGGGATCTGAATCCAGAGTCGGGCCCCAAAGGCTCATGCTTGTCACCACTGCGCGATCTTGTCTGAGTGAGTGATCTCTGTCCAGGGTCAGGGCAGAAGGAAGGACACGAAATAAAAGAGGGAAAGTTGGACCTCGCCCTCCACTCCCGCCTCCTCGCCGCGCCCAGGCCCAGGCGGATGTCCCATGGATGTTTCGCTCTTGCCCCTCCTCTTACTCCCAGCCGCTGGCACCCTGGTTCTGCCCTTCCTCACTTCTCTCTGGCCCCTGCCTGGACGATTGCAGCAGCCTCTGGGCAGTTACCCTCCTCCAGCCGCCCCAGCCCCAACATGCCCTGAGTGACAGTCACCTTCCCCACATGTGAGTCTGATCTTGTTACTCTGCTCCAGACCCTCTGAGGCGTGCAAATCCTAGCAAGCGTTTGTGCACGCACTCGCCTGGGTCAGCACCTGCTCCATGTCAGGCTCTGAGGACGTGAAGGTGAGCAAAGCCAGCGTGGTCCACAGCCATGGTCTCCATAGCCATGGTCTCCACAGCCATCGTCTCCACAGCCACCGTCTCCACAGCCATGGTCTCAGGGAGAATGAGACCCCTCAGTGGGGCGTGCTGCAGTGGGGCGTGCTGCAGTGGGGCGTGCTGCAGTGGGGCGTGCTGGGCTGTGGCAGGAGCTCCGCTCTGCAGACTCAGAGACCACGTGGCGAGGAGGAGTGGGAGCTCACAGGCAGAGAGCAGCAGAGAATCCCGGCAGAGGGGAGAGCATGTGCAGAGCCCAGAGCTGAGAGAGGTTGGAGCAGGGTGTCGGGTGGGATGTGTCCCAGACGAGTCTGGGAAGACAGGCTTGGGGGTGGGAGAGAGCTGGGCAAGACTCTCTCTTACTGGGCTCACCTTCCTTTTCCAGCCCCTGCTCCCTTCTTTTCCTCTCTCCACTCATCCCTGTAGGGTGGGTACTTTTTCCCCAACAGGCACCTTCCTCCTCATGCATTCTCCACAGGCGGCAACCCAACTCATCCTTCCAGACCCTTCCCAGGAAAATCACCCCTGATCCTTGACTCAGCTCTCTGAGCTCCGAGCCAGGCAGAAGAAGTCTGGGGGACTGGTCTGGGGTACAACAGGGGGATTTGGGAGCATTTTGACAAAATTCAGCTGAAGTAAAAGCCAAAGTTCTTACAAAGGCCTTTAAGACCCTGCACAGACTCTAGACCACCCTGCCTCTTCTGCTCCATCTTCCCACCGCCCACTGCGCTCCCCTAGCCGCTCTGCCCCTGCTCTTCAGGGCTCCTCCCTGGTCCGGGAATACCCGCCCCCTGCACTCCCACACCAGGGCTTTTGCACCTGCTGCTCCTGGTACGCCTCTCCCCTCCCTTCTCTGCACAGCTCCCTTCTTCATCTTCATCTTCATCAGACTTTGCTCAAATATCACCTCGGAGAGGGCCACCCAAACATCCTATTAAAAATTGCAACCTTTATCTCACACTTTCTTGCTCTATTTTTCTCTTGGAGAGCTTGTATGATTCACTGATTTGTTTACAGTCGGACTTTCCCGGTGAGGATGTGCATTCCAGGAGGGCAGGGATTTGGGTTTGCCTGGCTCGCCTTGTATCCTCGCATCTAGCACAGTGTCTGGCATACAGTAGGTGCTCAATAACTATGAGCGAACAAATATGAATGAATGAATTCTGAGTCCTGCCTGTGTGCCAGGCAGGCTCTGCCCTGGGTGCCAGGGAGGATGGGGAGCTGGAGAACAGAGGCCCCTGCCCCTCCGGGTGCCGGCAGAGCTGGTTCTGGGGGGAGTGGGACAGGTCCCTGACAGCCAGGTGAGTCCGGGGTGAGTCACCCTAACGAGGTGGTGAGGGCCACGCCAAGCTGCTTCCCACACGGGCGGCCGACAGGTCACTGCCTGTCGCCAGGAAACTCCTCGGTAAGGATTGAACAGGACCCTGGGCTGGGGCGGGAGGAAGTGCGAGCCTCCCCTCAAGACCCCACCCATTCCTGAGGGCTGAGTCGCCTCACCTGGGCTCCCCACCCCAGGTCTTGGCAAGAGGCTGGTTTCTCAGCCTTGGCTCTGACAGGAGTTCCTTCCTAAAAGGAGTTTCGCTCACTTCGTCCCACGCCCTTCCCGGCAGGGCCTGTCTGTCAGCTAGCCCTGCTGGGTCATGGAGCCTGGCGGGGGAGGGGGGGGGAGGCAGCCGAGCCTGGCAAACCCAGGGCACCTCGGGCAGCCCTAGGGAGTCAGCCGGCCAGCCGACCAGAGTTTGTGAAGGGTGAGGAGAGGATCAATGGGGTGTTTAAGCCCGATGGACAGCAAGAAGTGACCTCCATGACCACACGCCACCTCCCTCTGGGGGGCCCGAGGCCACGGGACCGGCATCATTTCCGCCAGCCTCCGTGTCCTCATCTGCAGAGTGGGGCGAAGCCTCGCCCCGTGGGCAGCTGCCGGCTGGGATGAGGTCACGGGCAGACCAGCGAGGAATGCAGGTGGGTAGCCAGGCCTCCGCCCTGCAGCCCAGATGTGGCCACTGTGGCGATGTTGGGGAGGAGGCTGCCAGGTGCCATCCCAGGGGGAGCAGGCCGGTCCCTCATTCCTCCTTCCCTGTCTCCCAGGTGGCGCACTCGAGGCCCCAGCAGGTCCTCTGCCCCAGAACCCAGAGTCCCAGCTGGGTGGCCTCACCCCAGCCCTCGGTCAGGCTCTGAGCTTCCCACCTGACTTATTTGTGTCAGGGTAACTGGCTATAGGTGTCAACAAATGTATTTGTTGATCAGTCATCAGATGCCCAAGGGGCACTGCCCAGCTTCCAGGCACAGTACCCGGCGGATGGATGCAGAGATGAAGAGGCCTGGCCTCGCACTCGAGGGCACACAGTCTAGAGGTACTCGGAGGAGCGAGTTGGGGGGAGGGGGCCCTCAGAGCGAAGCTGCAGCTTGAGCAGGGCTGCCTTTGCGCTTTGCTGACCTCTATCTGTCATTTAATCCTCACACAGCCCTGTAACGCAGGCAGCACAGGTGTCATCATGCTCATTTTATGGATGACAAAACCAAGGTTCAAGGAGGTGAAGTGACTAGCCCCAGGCCTCGATGATTGAGAATGGCCCAGGGGCTCATCTGGAACTCCAGTCTCGGCATCAGCGGTCTCTCGGGCCCTGCTTCCTACCCACTCCCCCAACCCCTGCCCCCGTCATGTATTCATACACTAGACGGGTACTGGCTATGTGCTGGGTGCTGTCCACAAGCTGGCGACAGGTACAGTCTAGAGGAGAAACCACACACCCAGATGGTGACACCTTTCGTTCAATTATCCATTCAACAGCTTCAATGAGCACCTACTGTGCGCCAGGCAGTACGTCAGGTGCTGGGGGTACAGCAATGAACACTGTAGGCAGAGTATGGCCCTCCTGGAGGCTTTCTTCCAGCGGGAAAGCAGGCAGTAATGACATATGTGACTCAGGGCAAGGGAATGAAGATGGCCAGGGTGCTTAGACAGAGTGGTCAGGAGTACCTTCCAAAATAGGTCCTGCTTCATCCCAGCCTGTTCATTCGTTCGTTCAGTCCACCAGCCTCGTCTGGAGCGTCTGCTCTGTTTCAGGCCCTGAGCTTGGACCTGGGGCTACAGACATGAGGCGAAGTCACATGCACCTGGATTCCAAGGCCTGAGGGCTGAGGGAGGTGGGCAGTTGAGATAGTGACTGAGATACATCATGGCAAAGGTAGAAAAAAAAATAGTCCTATTTGCTTGGGGTTGTTCTGAGATGACATCTGAGTAGACGAGGCTGTGGCAGGCATATGCTCGGATGCTCTGAGGAGCACCGGGAGCCGAGTAGGTGAGGGAGGGAGTGGTAGAAAGTGAGGGCAGGGAGGGAATAGGGGAGGCACATACCCTGACAGCCTTGTGGGTCATACGTGGTAAGTCCTTGCTTTTACTCAGAGTGAGATGGGAGCCACTGAGGGCTCTGAGCTGGGGACCACCCTGATTTGACCTGTTTTAAAAAGATCTCTCCGCCTACTGCGGAGGACAGGCTCTCATGGGGCAAAGACTGGGGGGAGATACCGAGGGCTGCTGAGTCACCCAGGCAGAGATGGGCCAGGGCGGTGGTGGGGAGTGGTCACATCTGAGATGTGTTTGGAAGGTAGCCTAACAGCATTTGCAGACAGACTGGGCATGAGGGATGAGGGGCAGTGAGGGGTCAGGACGACCCTGGCTCCAAGAACAGGAGGGCAGCCTTGCCGGGGCACATCCGGCCTGAGTTTCACGTCCTTCACCTGGAGCGCGGCTGGGCCTGACTGCCCAGGAGGACAGGCGGTTGGAGGGTGCTGGGCCCCCCGCCGCTCCCTGCAGCTGCCTGAGCCTCCTTGGTCCATCTCAAGTGTTGTGATGGGTCCTACAGCTGCCATGACCCTGCACCTTGGCGGGAGCTTCAACTGAACAACCTTTTTTGGAAAGCCGTCTGTCCATATGCATTGAGTCCTTTTATAAAAAATACAGTGGGGCCTTGACTTAAGAGTGTCCCGACTAACGAGTTTTTTGAGATACCAGCTGTCTCACGGCCGATTTTTTGCATTGAGTTGATAGAGTAATTTGAGTTAACGAACTCCTTAACGAGCTCCTTAACGAGCTCGGTCTCAGAACGAATTAAACTCATAAGTCAAGGCCCCACTGTATATATATTTCTGTGGTCTTTATTCTGTTCCATTGATCAATATGTCTGTCCTTATACCAATATCACACTTTCTTCATTACTGTTATTTATAGTAAATTTTGAAATAAGGTAATGTGGATCCTTCAATTTTTTCCCCAAAGTTATATCGGCTATTCTGGGTCTTTTCCATTTTTATGTGCAGTGCATTTTAGGATTAATTTGCTAATTTCTTTCTTTTAAAAAAAACAATTAATTTCTTTCAATGACAGTTGATATACAACATTGTTAGTCTCAGATACACAACAAAGTAATTAGACTTTTATATAACTTATGAAGTAATCACCCTGATAAGTCTAGCACCCACCTGACACCATACATATTAATATGCTAATTCCTACAAAAACAACCCTGCTTGAATTTTTATAAGGGTTGCATTTGAATCTATGGATCAATGTGAATAGAATCGCCAGCTCAGGAATATTGAGTTTTCCAAATTAGTCCATGGTATGTTTCTTCATTTATTCGGATCTTTTAAAAAACATTGTTTTGAAGTTCTCCGTGTATGGATATTACACTCACTTTGTTAATATTTCCCTAAGTGTTTACTTTGCATGCCCTTTGACCCAGTGAGTCCCTTCCTAGGAAGTCGGCCCGTGAGTCACCTGAACAGACTGTGCTTCCTGCGGCGGGAGCAGCACTCATTTCGGCACTCAGATCGCTGCGCGGCCCTCACATCTCTGTCCTAAGAGCTCGTGTCAAAGGACAGCGCCTGCGACCATGTCAAGTGGCTGCAACCGTGCGCGGGAGACGCCTATCCGAGGGAAGAAACCGCGATTGCGGCCGATGGCCTGCCCCCCGGATGGCTGTGTCCATTCTCTTCTCCATCCTCTGCCGCCCCGTGATAACGCTCTAAGACCAGCGTGCGTTACCCTGTCGATAATCTGATGAAAAAGCAGCATTAAAACAAGAAAGACAAAGGAAATGTGAGTTCCCAGAACTGAGGAAGCACAGCAGAGGCCAAGCCGGAGAGGAAAACCAGCGACCCATCCCTTCCAGGGAAAGGCGGCGGCCACGTGGAGGGAGGCCGGCCTGGTTCCCCGCCAGCGCCAGCGCCCGCTCGCCTCCGCCCGCCACCGGCTGCCCAGGGGGCGGGGCTGACGTTGTGGCGGGAGAGCGCGGAGGCCCCTCTTTCTCCCCAGGCCGCAGGCTGTGTTTCCCCTCCGTGCGCCCCTGCAGCCCTCAGAGTTTGCCTGCATGTCCTCTCCTTCCACCCACGTCACAGGAGGCCGGCTGCTTTGTGCCTAGCCTTGTGTGTCTCCCTGATGAGCGTGGGCATCCTCTAGCCAGTGGGTCTCAAAGCGACCAGCAGCATGGGCACCACCCGGGAACTCCATAGAAACGCAAATTCACGGAAGAGCTACCGAGTCTGACAATCTGGAGGGGATGCCCACGCCTGTATTTTAAGGAGCCCTCCAGGGCTACCGCTTGAGAACCACTGCCTTACAGTGCAGCCCCGCTGTGACCCATGTCCCGCACGGGTTGTGTCTTCTCGCAGATTGCCATGATCCCCATTTAACAGACATAAAAATGAGCTCAGAGAGGTCAAGAGACTTGCCCAAGGTCGCACAGCCAGCCAGAGACAGAGCTGGAACTCTGAGCACATGCTTTTATTTTCACGTCTGTGCTCTGCAGCCGCCTGGACTTCAGGCTTTCCTGGGGGGTGCAGTTGGGTGCTGGCATACAGAGTGGCATGGGCATGGGTTGAACTGGGGTTTGGGTCCTGTGGGGTCAGAGCCCTGGATGCTCAATCGGAAGACCAGACTGATTCCCCAGGAGACCCAGGCAGCCCCAGTTGCCCTGTGTGCCTGCTGAGGCCCCTCCGGTAATGACAGGGTCCATCAGGATGAACACAGAGGAGGGGTGCAGCGCCACCTGCTGTCCAAACTTGTCAGTGACGCTGGTGGGTAAATGCAGGGACCCAGACACAGCTCAGGAAGACCAGGACAGCTTTGCTCGTGTCTCCTCCCACCGCAGGGGGGATACACATCCACACGCGGATGGTGGGCCTGTGGGCACGTGGGGCTCTCAGACACACAGCCTGGTAGATAGACCTAAGTTCACTCATCAAATGTTCATTGAGATACGCCAAGCCCACAGTCGCTGCCCTTTGGGTGCCTACTGGCTGGGTGATGGTCAAGGGACTAGGCAGCCACCAGGTGATGGTGATGAGGATGCACCTGGGGAGGGATGCACCGGTGAGGTCAGGGAGGCAGCTCCTAACCCATCTGGACTGGCACTGGGAGCAGGGAAGACTCCCCCCAGATCCATGCCCCACGGGGTCTTATCACATGAGCGGGTGGCTGAGTGGAGGAGGCAGAGGCTCATCAGAGCAAAGCCCACAGGAGCGGGAGAGGAGAGCTGGGACCCAGTGCCAAAGGTCTCGCACCTGGACTGCAGCCCTGGAAGAGTGGGAGCCCCGGAAGGTTTTCAGCGAGGAGTGCCCGGGCCAGATCCGAGTGCCACGCCCACGGACACGTTTGTGCTGAGGCTCAGGGCTCCCGGGTTGACCTGCTGGGACTGTCCCTATGCACTTCTCCTCTCTCTGCAGCAGCTGCCCGTGTGCCCAGGATGGGAGAGGCACCCCGCTCCCCTGAGAGAAAGAAGCCGGGTCCAGTCTAGAATGAATGAAATGCATAGCAGTCACCGTTCAGCACCCTGGGTGCCCAGAAAATGCCCTCGCTTCAACCCACTAGGCTAGCGGAGATGCTCCGGGGATGCGACCTGTTCCAAACACAGCTCCTTGTGCCCCCAGGTGCCACAGCCAGCCTGTTGGAGGGGCAGCGCCTCCCTGAGGGTGGGAGCCCATGGTGAGTGGTGGGTGGTGGAGAGAGGAGGGCCCTAGACCCTGACACTGGATGGTCCTGGTTGGGGGCTGCTGGGGGGAAGGGAGGGCACCCGGGCAGCAGGGCGGCATGAAGACTGGCAAAGAGGAGGTGGGGTGCTGAGAGCAAGCGTGAGCGGGCCGGGCCTGTCCATGGGGCTCCAGCGGCCGCAGGGCTGCGGTTTTCCTCCGTAGAGCAGCTGCCGCGGCTTCCGAGAAGCCCCACCGAGACTTTCCTGCCAGGGCGCCTCCGAGTTCCTCTTATGAGGAGGGAAGTGGCCTTTCTCCTCGGCTTTCAGTTTCTTTCCAAGAAGCGGGGTGTCCAGGCAGGGCCAGAGCCGGTGCCGGGCAGAGCGGACCTTCAGGGCCTTCCCCACCCGGGTCGCAGCCCAGCTTCCCCAGAAGAGGCAGGGCCCTACCCCACGCTGGGGACACACCAGTCCCCCCACTTCCTCCCCCCCAGGCCCCTCACCCTCGGGACGTGGGGGGTGTGTGTGTCCAAAACCAAAACCTTCTGAGTCCTGCCCCCTGGCCTGCTGCCAAATGACAGGTGACAGGGCTCACTGCCGAGTCCTGTCCAGTGGCCGGGTCCATTTGGGGGGCTTCCCGAGGCCAGGCTCTGGGAGCACAGAGCACTGAGGACCTGCCTTCCCACTGGCCGGGGGTAAAGAAAGGTCCTCACCGGGTGGGGAGCACGGGCATGCGCCCTTCCCTGCCAGGCGTGTCCTCCTGTAACCCCCACAGGGATGCCGGAGGGGGCACACTGTCAAGCACCTGCCCAGCTCACACAGCCCCAGGGCCACTCCTCCCGCAGACCTTTTCGCAGAAACGCCTGAAGGAGTATCTGCCCCCTGTTTGGGGGGGGCGGGAGGAGTTGGGAAGGTCTGGTCCCCAGTCCCGGATCTCAGAGCAGCGGCGCCCTCGGGAGGCAGGAGCAGGCTGAAGCCACCTCGGGATGCTAGGAACCCCCTCACCTCTTCTGTTTTCCTCTCGCAGGCAGGGTTTCTGCTTTGCCAACACATGCGTTATGGGGACGGTGAGGGGATTTCCCTAAACCGTGATGCTGTTCCGTTCGGAAACATTTGCCTAGAGGTCCCCACTGTGTGACTCGCAGCTGCGCGGGGGAGGGGGGGCCCAAAAGACCCAGGACAGGGGACACCCGGTGGGGGGGCCTCACTGGACACAGTTACATTTGAATTGCAGACAAACAACATGTAGGATATCCTTATGCGAAAACAGTTGTTGTTTGTGTGAATTCAAATTGAACTGGACATCCTGCTTGTGTCTGACCGCCCTGGTCACTCGGCACCGGCAAAGCTCCAGCTTCTGAGTCCCAGCGGGTGGCACAGCGACCAGACGACCGGACACTTAGCATATTAGGCTTTTATTATATAAGATATTGGATTAGGGCCCACTTTAGTGGCTTCATTTTACTTAATTCCCTCTTTAAAGGTAAAATCTCCAAATACAGCACATTCTGAATTTTTTTTTGGGGGGGGGGCACCCAATTCAGCCCATAACAGTTGATTTTTACCTACAGCGGAAGGGAAAACAGTGAGTCTGCTCTGGAAATCAGGCTGGAGATTGGTCCAAGACCATTCCTTAGAGCTGCATTGCCTCTAGAAGTTCGGGAGTCCCCTGGCCTACCAGTTTTGACCAGGGGAGGTTTGGGTCTGCAGCCTCTGGGCACGGCCCCCTGGCCATCGGGCTGGGAGGGGTCAGCACTGTGACCAAAATGCTGAGTGGGCAGCTCTCTCTACCCAGCAGTACAAGTCTGGTAATCTTTGTCCTTGAAAAACTGTGTCTCTAACAATAAAGCATCAAATTCTCCACCTGGGGCTGCTATTTATAGGATCATCCATGTATATTTATTAAAAGGGACAAACTTAACATTTGTGTTTTTACAAAAGTAACATGTTTGTTGTTGAAAACACAGAACAGAAGAAAACAAAATGAATGATCATCTGATCTCGCAGAGATAACCACTGTTGAGTAGCATTTTGGTCTCTGTATCTCTCTGTATTTCTCCATGTGTCTTAATCTCCATGTCCATCTACATTTATAGGGTAAGTTTTACTTTAAAGATAAGGTTATACCATACCATTTCATAACTTCTCATAGCTAAATCTTTGTCATGATCATTTACTAAGTGTACATTCCTACAAGTAAAATATCTGAGTTGAAGAGGAAGCACTATTTAAAAGTTTTGAACTTTATTTTTGAGTAGATAATATATTCCCTTGGTTCAAAATTTGAAAGGCATCTACCCATATCTGATCTCTCCTGGGCAGTCACTATTACCAGCATTTTATGTTCTCCTCAGAGATACTGTGCATATATATATATATATATATATACATATATATATATATATAGTGTGAGCTGTCCAGTGTGCATTCTCTATAACTATGCATATGTACATATCCTCCTATATAATAAAAGCCTAATATGCAAATCAACTGACTGGTAGAAAGACTGGTCGCTATGATGCTCACTGACCACCAGGGGGAAGACGCTCAACACAGGAGCTGCCCCCAGCCCACAGGCCCCAGGCCAGCCAAGGCAGATGCCAGTGGGGGCCTGCCCTACCCCCGCCATCCCCCTACCCTCCTGCCCCCTGTCACCCTACAGAGGGAGGTAACCGGTGGCAGCAGTGGGGGGTGGGGCTGGCAAGCAGGTGGCATCAGGCCGGGCAATGAGGGTGCCAATGGGGGCCCCCCAATCACCCCACTGGTTGCCCCCAAAGATCAGCACTGATCGCCGGCCAGGTCTAGGGACCCTGCCTGTGCACAAATTTCATGCACCAGGCCTCTAGAATATAGATATGTCTATCTGTACACACACAATTTTTTTCATAAATGGTAGTATCTTCTATATACTATTCTGCACTTGGCAGTTTTCATCTAAAAAATGATGTTGGAAAACTTTCCATGTCAGTACATAAAAAACTTCTTCGCCCTGGCCAGGTAGCTCAGTTGGTTGGAGCTTCGTCTCTGATATGCAAGGTCGCAGGTTCAATGCCTGGTCAAGGCACATATAAGAATCAACCAATGAATGCATGGATGCATTCTCTCTCTCTCTCTCTTTCTCTCTCTCTAAAATCAATCAATAAATAAAAATGTGTGATTTTTAAAAAGTATTTTTAAAAACAGCTGCCCAGTGTTTCATTATATGCACAGACTGTAATATACCTAAATAGTTCCCTATTGATGGACATATAGGTTGTATATTAGATATGGCCGTATAACGAATTGCCCTGAAACGCAGTTGACAGAACAATAGAAATGTACTTTTTTCTACGGTTTCTGTTGGTCGGAAATTTGAGTAGGAGTCAGCTGGGCAGTTCTCACCTGGGGCCTCTGGGCCTGCAGTCACCTGGGCCTGGAGGATGGTTTCTAATCCCTCGCTCGTGGCGCTGGCATGTGGTGCTGGCCGCGGGCTGGGGCCTTGGTTCACTCCACACGGGCCTCGCAGAGCTGCTCAGCGTCCTCACAGCAGGAGGCTGGATCCCACGGCGTGGGCTGTGCAGGGGCCGAGGTGGCAGCTAGCCTTGGGAGTCACGTGCCTTGGCTTCCACTGTATTCTATTGGTCTGTCCAGGTTCCAGGGGAGGGAATAGGCCCCACCTCCCAGTGGAGGAGGGCCAACATCACCTTGAAGAAGAGCATGGGAAATGGGATCTATTGCTGCTTCCATCTTTAGAAAATACAGCCTGCCATGGGTCATTTTCAGTCTTTTGCCCTTAGGAGAAAATGATGGTAAGTACACTGTTAAGACCTTTGATATGATTACCAAATTCCCTCTAGAAAGTTGTACCAATTTAGACTCCCACCTGTGGTGATTGAGAAAGTCCATTTCTCCACACCCTCACTGCTACTAAGTTTATCTTTCAAAAATCTTTGCCAAAAAAAAAAAAAAATCTTTGCCAATTTGTTATGCAAGAAATGGTATCTTATTGTCTTAAGAAAATTCCTTCTAAGAAAGTAGAAGACCTAAATTTGACTATTGGCATCTGTATTTTTACAAAAATATATTTTATTGATTTTTTACAGAGAGGAAGGGAGAGGGATAGAGAGCTAGAAACATCGTTGAGAGAGAAACATCGATCAGCTGCCTCCTGCACACCTCCCACTGGGGATGTGCCCGCAACCAAGGTACATGCCCTTGATCAGAATCGAACCTGGGACCCTTGAGTCCGCAGGCCAACGCTCTATCCACTGAACCACACCCGTTAGGGCTCGGCATCTGTATTTGTTTGCTGGGGCTGCCATAATGCAAGACCACACATGGGGTGGCTTTAACAATAGAAATGTGTTTTCTCATAGGAGCCTGGAAATCCAGGTGTGAACAGGTGTGGTTTTTCCTGAGGCCTCTCTCCTTGGCTTGCAGACAGCTGCCTTCTTACTGTGTCCTTACATGGCCTTTTATCTGTGCATGTCCTCTTAGGTTAAGGCCTACTCTTATGACCTCATTTAACTATTAGCTTTTAAGGCCCTGACTCCAAATATAGTAACACGGGTGTGTGTGTGTGTTAGGGCTTCAATATATGAATTTTGGGGGATACAATTCAGTCCATAATAGCATCAATTTTGGGGAAGTCACATATCTTTCTGTGCCTCAGTTTTCCCATCTGTGTAAGGGAGATATGCCACATTCCCTCTTCCTCTTCCTCACTGTATTGTCATGACGATTAACTTAGTATCTGTGAAGGGGTTCTGAGAATGTAATAAATTAACACATAAGACATTTGTAACTTTGGGTCTCACAATTCTGAGCTTGCCCAACATGAAAGACCCTTTGTAAATGTATAGGGTAGAGCGATGTGTCAGTTATCTGTTGCTGTGTAACAACCATCCCCAAATTTAATGACTTACAACAATCTATTACTTCTTACGGTTCTGTGAGTTCCTCTGCTTGTCTTATGCGTGCAGCTGCAGTCCGTTGGCAGCGTGGCGTGGTTGGGGGGCCTAGGCTTCCTCTCCTCCGGTCTTCCATGCTGGGCTTCTTTACTTGATGATAGAAACATTCTGAAAGGGAGCCCAGCCTCAGAAGGTGGACAACATCACTCCTACCACATCCTATTGGTCAAAGCAAGTCACAAAGCCAGCGCAGACTCCAGGGGAGGTGGCATAGATGCCACCTTGTGGTAGTAGGAACAGCAGAGTCCATTGCCAAGGACCAAGGGTGGGGGTAATTCTGTCGGAGGTCATGGCTGTCACAATCTTAGGATGGTGTACAGAGTTCAAGTGCTGGGTCAGCACGCCCCACTCACGCACCCAGAGACCAATGAACTTTGACTTTACTCTTGGCCTGGTGCCTCCCCGCTTGCTCCTAACTCCATTCTCATCCAGCTCAGCCCAGAAGCCCGGTCACTGGCCGTGTCTGGTTTGGGGCCCTGTTTATGCTATGCCCTTTGGCCTTGCTGACGCATCTGAGGACTTTGATTTGGATTACCTTCCAGCGTCCTGCTCCTAGCCGGCCCCTCCCTGCTTCCAGGAACTCACGACCCAGCCCAGCCCTCCTAATTGCCCTCTGGCAGGGCCCGCCCTCCTTTTGGGGAAGTTCCTTCTCTTGACCAATTTCCCAGAAAAACTGCATAATCTGCCTGAAAGTACAAAATATTTCTCTTCCCTTTTATTTACCGCAACTTAATAAGCGCCAGTATTTTAGGCCTTTGAGAAACTCTACAGTTTATGCTCCAAATTTTAGTCACTTTTTTGCGGGGGTTCTCTCACACCTGTCATCTAGAGCTCATGCGTTATTGAGGGTATAAACCCGGGATGTTGTTATTGATAAGAGCTATAAGAGGAAGGCCCTGGCCGGGTAGCTCAGTTGATTAGAACATCGTCCCAATATGCCCAGGTTGTGGGCTTGATCCATCAGGGCACATACAAGAAGCAACCAATGAATGTATAAATAAGTGGAACAACAAATTGATGTTTCCCTCTCTCTAAAAATAAATGTTAAAAAGAGCTACAAAAGAAAAAGATAATACCAGTAAGACAGAATCTCACAGGATGCTTTATTGGGTGTCAAACAATTTCATGAATCACATTTCCCTAATTGAATTGAATTTTTTTGATGTAGTAGTAGAATCTGCTGCTGAAGAGGTCTGCAAGGCTGAACATAGAATTATTTTGGTAATAACATTTGGATTTTTTTTTTTTTATAAACCAAGTTTTTTGTAAGGAACAGCTTTATGGTAAAGATATTAACTTGATAGTTACTTAAATTATTCTAGTGTTGTAAGGTGTATTACATGAAAAAAAAAACAAGGTGTACAACAACTGCATAGTTCAGTGCCTGTTGTGTAAAAGGGGGAGAAAAATATAGACTATAACATAATGCATGGGGCGGGGGGGGGGGGGGGGGGGGGAGGGCGGGGGTGTGAGTGTGTGCACTATCTCCTTTCCTTAGAAGTATCTATAAGAAACCAGTAATAATGACTCTTGGGAGAGAAGCAGGGGTGTCTGACAGCAGGATGGGGGAGGGGTGGGGTTACCCTCGTACTTTGGAGTCAGTCAGTGCTGTGGGGGCTCGAGGCAGCCCAGGGTGCTGGAGCGTTCTGGGCCTGGGTCTGAGGGGGTCACGTGGGTGACCACACGTGGAAAGCCATCAAACCGTAGACATGCACTTCGTCACACGTTATACTTTCAAGAAAATGGTGTCTTTTTTTTGGTATGAAATAAGATTTTATTACTACATTTAATATTTATAATAAATCAAGGAAAGCAGCCATCTTTTCACCATTTAACAAGGAACATAAAATGCTTAATTCATTCTAAGTTAACTATATAACATAAAATATGATTCGTTAGCAAATAGATTTTAAAACGGCTTACATCATGTTTGAATTAGAGCCTAAATGTTTATGAACCCACAGATTAAATATTACTGTGTGTTCTGGCAGCAAGTGATGTCTTTTCATGAAAAAAAATTAAATATATTAAAAATAGTGTTTTCAAAAGAAAAATAACGTCAGACCAGGATGCACTGCCTGGTGAGCCTCCGCCCTCTGGGTCTGGGCATAACCACAGTGACGGAGGGGAGAGGTGGCCCGTGGCCCCGAGAGCTTGACAAATCAGAGTCCAGCGGAGGACGGAGGAAAAGTCCCACGGAGCCTCAGCGACCGGGAGCCTGCTGCCCCCTGCGCGTCCTGGCACCACTGAGGCTGACCAAGAACCCTTCTGAGAGGCAAGAGAGGAAATGAAAACGGGAGAACGAAACCGTTTACTAATGCTCACTTGCTCAGCATGTTGCCATTTTCAGAGCCCTTGCCGGTCCATTATATTGTTTGACCTGTAAAACCCTGGTGAATGGACTGGGCACGTGCTGGTCACCCCGTTTCATGAATGAGGAAGGAAGCTCAGGCCTAGAGAGCGAAGTCGCAAGGAGGTGGCAGAGCCAGGACTCAAGCCCGAGACACGCAGCTCCAAGTCCCATGTGCTTCTCGCTGCTTCCCAGAGAGGCCATCGGCCATCGGGCGTCCAGCCAGCCCTGACTTCCCCACTTGCCAGCGGCTGATTCCGGGCCAGTCGCCGGGTCTCGGTGCCTCCCTAGTCTCATCTGGACGACGGAGCCGGTGTGAGGAAGAAATGGGCTGGCACGTGGAAAGCACATCGGAAGTGCTCATCAAAAGTTAGCTTTTGTCGTTATTCCCAGAGACAAAGGGAGACACGAGGAGAATGGCAAAGAGGAGAAAGGAGAACCATGCAGAGAAGCGGGTGAGGAGGACCCAGAGGCAGAAACGGCCGCAGCACGTCCACGCGCGGCTCCTGCCCAGCCAGTGACAACAGGAGGGGGGTGACGAGGCAGAGGCCAGGGTCAGGCAGGAGCACCAGTAGGCAGGTGCCTCACCCCTACCTTGGCCTGCCACCTGCAGAAGCCCACGGTTTGCATGGGCCTAGGGGTGCTGGTCCAGACAGAACGTGAGGCCCATGGGGGAGAAATGAGAGGGAAAGGCTCCTGGCCTGGATGGAACTCAAGATGCGGACAGGTGAGCTGAGGTGGCCTTGCTTCATTTCCTCAGCGTGCCAGCCCCGGCCCAGTGGTGCGCTGGCAAAAATTAACAACCTCCTGATGGGCATGAGGGGCAGTGCTGGGGGCGGGCAGGCATGAACATCCCATGACCTCATCGATGCAGCCATTGGTGGGTAAGAACAAGGTGACCGCCTTGCTGAGTCTGAGCCACGCAATCGGTCTCAGAACTCTAGTGACGCGAACGGGGGCAGGTGCTGGGGACAGCGGCGGCGAGCAGACAATGGCTTTGTCCTCCGGGAACGTACATGCTTTGGTGGAGGAGACAGACACTGATCATATAAACAAGCTAGATGAAGCTGGATGATGACCGTGAGACGCTGAGAAAGTGCAGCGGGGGCAGGGACCAGAGGGCACGGTGTGCTAGGTAGGCAGGTGGACAGGGAGCCCCGCCAAGGAGGGGCGTTGGGGCAGGGACATGCGTGAGGGGAGGGGGTGCCGTGCGGATTTCTGGGCGAAGAGTTTCTAGGCTGAAGGAACAGCAGGTGCCAAGGTTCTAAGGGGAGTGTCCTGAGAGAGGCGGATGGGCAAGGGAAGGGGTGAGCTCCGATAGGCAGCCGGGGGCCAGATCCCAAAAGGCCTGCAGGGCCACGGGAGGGAGGATCAGGTGGAGTTTTAACTGATGCCCCTGGAGGGTTGGGACCAGGACCCTGGATTGGGGTGTCAGGTAGAAAAGAGCTCCTTTAGCCCTGGCCGGCTTGGCTCAGTGGATAGAGCGCTGGCCTACAGACTGAAGGGTCCCGGGTTCCATTCTGGTCAAGGGCACATGCCCGGGTTTCAGACTCCATCCCCAGTAGGGGGTGTGCAGGAGGCAGCTGATCAATGATTCGCTCTCATCATTGATGTTTCTATCTCTCTCTCCCTCTCCCTTCCTCTCTGAAATCAATAAAATTAAAAAAAAAAATTTTAAAGAACTCCTTTATTTTTAAAAATATGTTTGTAGTGATATTTTTCAGAGAGAGAAGAGAGATAGAAAGAGCGATGAGAGAGAAACATCGATCCACTGTCTCCTGCGTGCCTCCTACAGGGGATCCAGCCTGCAACCCAGGCATGTGCCTGACCTGCGCCTGATCTGTGATCGCTGGTGATGGGACCCTGCTCAGCAAACAGAGCCACACCGCGGGGCTGAAAAGAACTCCTTGGGGGCTGTTTGCAGAAGGACCACCAGGGGGCGAGTGTAGAAGCAGGGAGAGCAGCTCTTGCAATCAAGAGAAGGAGAGGGAGGGGGGAGGGGGAGGGGAAGAGGGAAGGAAGGGGTGAGGAGGAGAAGGGTGGGGAGGGGAGAAGGGGGGGATGTGGTGAGCAGGAGGGGGAAGGGGAAGAGGGAGGGGAGCGAGATGATGGTGGCTTGCACAGAGGGGTGGTCTGTGAGGGGTGTGAGGGGTGAAGAAAGGCTCCATTTGGTACACCCTGAAGGTAGAAGCAGCCACAACTAGCTGCTGGAACACACTATCCAGAAGTGCAGCTCCATGAAGGACTACTGTAGCTAAGGACTCCAGGCGGTTCAGCCCCTCCTGGGGGCGGGGAACTTTCCCTAGTTGCCTTGTTCGTTTTCCCACAAGGGGCATTTCCTCTGTTTACAATAACTACCTGGAGGCTCAGAGAGGCTGAGTGACTGCTCAGTGCCCACAGCAGAGCGGGGATGTGAGCATGGGTGCCTTCCCCGAAGGACTTTGGGAGGATTAGGATACTGCCTGACACATAGTGGGTGCTCACGTGATTGTGAGTTTACAAAAGATTTCCTACCAAGGGCCCCTATTTCTTTACATTCATAGACTCCCCCCCCCCAACTTTATTGAGCTATAATCTACATATATAAAAGTCTAAGCGACCTTTATGACCGGTCACTATGATGCTCACTGACCACCAGGGGGCAGACGCTCAATGCAGGTGCTGCCCCCGGTGGTCAGTGTGCTCCCACAGGGGGAGCGCTGCTCAGTCAGAAGCCGGGCTCACAGCTGGCGAGCCCAGCAGCAGTGGCAGGAGCCTCTCTTGCCTCCGGGGCAGCGCTAAGGAGCAGCGATCTGAGCAGTAATGAGCAGCAAGCAGGTGGGTGGTAAGGAGCATGGGTTCCTGGACTGTGAGAGGGCACAGGCTGGACTGAGGGACCACCCCCCCCCCCAGTGCACAAATTTTGTGCACCAGGCCTCTAGTTGAGAAATAAAAATTGTATGGATTAAACGTGTACAGTGTGATGTTTTGATACAGTCATAGACATTTTGTTATTGTTAATCCTCACCCGAGGGTATTTTTTCCCATTTTTAGAGAGCGTGGAGGGGAGAGCAGGAGGGGAGAGAGAAAGAGGGAGAGAGATTGATGTGAGAGAGACACATGGATTGGTTGCCTCCCGCACAAGCCCACTGGGATCGAGCCTGCAGGATACGTGCCCTTGACTGGGAATAGAGCCCATGACCCTTTGGGGGCATGGGCCAACACTCTAACCACTGAACACACCAGCCAAGGCCAGTCATAAACTTTTAAAAGGCTGTAAGCAGTGCCCATCCACCAGAATGGCTAAAATTAAAAACAAATATATAACAACCAAAACCCCGACTGTGCCAAATGCTGGCAAGGATTCGGGCAATGGGAATGCTCATCACTGCTGATGCGAATGCAAATGGCACAGCCCCCCTAGAAGACAGCTTGGCAGTTTCCGAGAAAGTTAATCATGTGCTTGCCATACGACCTCGTGGTCCAATTCTAGGCACTTACCCTAGAGAAGTAAAAATGTGTGCTCACACAAAACCTGAACACGAATGCCGATAGCCCAGAGCGGCGTTATTCATAATTGCCCACCCTGGGAATAACCCGGACGTCCTCAGCTGGTGGGGGGTGGCCACTGTGGCACGCCTGCTCAGCCCTTTCCGTGTGGGGGACTATGCCAACTAAACAAGGGCTCCAGTCTTGGTGTGCCTTCCTTTGGTTTTGTTTCTACACGTTCTCCTGTCTTGTCACACTGGCCTGTCTCGGGGTAAATTCTCAGGGTTAGAATGTCGGGGTGAGTGCAGTTAGAATGTCGGGGTGAGTGCAGCTAGACTATTGGGATGCATGTAGTTAGAATGTCAGGGTGAGTGCAGTTAGAATGTCGGGGTGAGGCACACTCCCCCTCCAATGAGCATGTCCATGCCATCCCCCCACAGGCACGTACCCCCCAACCTCTAAGGGACCCCATGAGACTTGCAACCAGGGGAGCCATGGGCAGCGGTAGCTCGCCCCAGGCCAACCCCTGAACCCGTCTCCAAGGCCCTTTCCTCGGACCTCTCGGTGAGCTAGAGCAGCCCCGCCTACGCCCTCCTGTTGCTTCTTCTGGGCCCGTCCTTGTGTCACTGTCCCGGGTATATTTTTGCTGCCATCCTGGACGCAATACCCTTTGGCCCAGTGCTGTGTAGCCCTTCGCTTTGGATAGTCCCACCCCCCCGTCCACTTTTCCTTAAATTCCATTTTCTTTTTTAAAAAAGTAGAATGTTGGGGTGAGTGCAGCTAGAATATAGGGGTGCATGTAGTTAGAATGTCGGGGGGTGTGCAGCTAGAATATCGGGGTGAGTGCAGTTAGAATGTCGGGGTGCATGTAGTTAGAATGTCAGGGTGCATGTAGCTAGAATGTTGGGGAATGTGTAGTTAGAATATTGGGGTGAGTTACCTAGAATGTTGGGGTGAGTGCAGTTAGAATGTCGGGGTGCATGAGCTAGAATGTTGGGGAATGTGTAGTTAGAATATTGGGGTGAGTGCAGTTAGAATGTCGGGATACATGTAGTTAGAATGTCGGGGTGCATGAACTAGAATGTTGGGGAGTGTCTAGTTAGAATGTCAGGGTGAGTGCAGCTAGAATATCGGAGTGAGTATAGTTAGAATGTTCGGGTGAGTTACCTAGAATGTGGTGTTGAGTGCAGTTAGAATGTCGGGGTGCATGTAGTTAGAATGTCAGGGTGCATGTAGCTAGAATGTTGTGGAGTGTGTAGTTAGAATGTTGGGGTGCGCAGGGCTCAGTCCTTGGACCTCTTCCTTTAGTCTCATGCACACTTTAAACCCCATCTCTGGAATGACGGCTCCCACGTCTACATCCCAGCCCAGACCTGGCGCCGGAGCCCAGATGCCCACCGCTGGCCGTGACCGTGAGGGCACCTCGGATGTGAGTGTCACGTCACGCAGAGCTCTGGATGGATGTGCCGCTCCCCTCCTGTCCCCCCTCCCGCCCCCCGACAGTCTCTCACCACGGGTCAGTGGCAGCTCCTCCTCCACGTCTCAGGTCAGAGGCCGGGCTGGCGCTGGCTCCTCCTCTCGCCCACCATCCACTGTGGGGAGTCTCTTCCATCCACCTCCACAATCAATCCAGAAGCTGCCCTCCCACCCCCGCTCCAGCCCTGACGTAAGCCTCCACCTCTCTCACTGGGATCCTTGCAACAGCCTGCAAACTGCTTCCACGCTCGCCCCCTTGGTCTATGGCAGTGACGGCGAACCTATGACACGCGTGTCAGAGGTGACACGCAAACTCATTTTTTTGGTTGATTTTTCTTTGTTAAATGGCATTTAAATATATAAAATAAATATCAAAAATATGTCTTTGTTTTACTATGGTTGCAAATATCAAAACATTCCTATATGTGACACAGCACCAGAGTTAAGTTCGGGTTTTTCAAAATGCTGACACGCCGAGCTCAAAAGGTTCGCCATCACTGGTCTATTGCAACAAGCAGCAGGAGGGTTTGTTCAAACAAACCAGACCCTCCAATGACTCCCCTCTCACCCAGCCCTCTGGAGGCCTCCCATCTGCCTCCCCTGACCCCAACCTTGGCTTAGGGATCATCTAACATCTACCATCTCCTTCTTGTCTACTCTGCTCCAGCCACTCACCTCCTCACTGTTCTTTGCACACACCAGGCAGGCTCCTGCCTCAGGCCCTTTGCACTGGCTGTTCCCCCCGCCTGGAATGCTCTTCCCCCAGATGTCTGCACAGCTCCCTCCCTTATTTCCTTCCTTGAGGTTGTTTTCAAACATCAACTTCTCAGTGAGGCCTTCCTTGACATTCCTTTTAAACACGCACACGCACAAGCACATTTACACGCACACGCACCATTCTCCCTCATTCCCCTTTTTCTTCCACGAGGGAGGCTAGCCATCCTGGTTTGTCTGGAGCTGCGGGGCTTCCTGGGACTTGAGACTTCGGGTTGTAAAACTAGGAAAGTCCAGGATGGTTCGTCACCATATGTAAGCACTTGTCACACCGATACGCTCCACATTTACATCCTTCTGCTGTTGGTTAGCTCCCCGAGGAAGGCAGAACTTTCCGTCTGCCTCGTTGACTGCTGCAGCCCCAGTACAGCAGCCGCACTGGGCTCACAGCAGATGCTCGACGGAGACTGTTGAGTGAGGGGATGGGCCTGTGGCCAGCCTGGTCCCCAGAGACTGTGCCAAGGAGGGGTTCTGGGGCCTTTAAAACACCCTCCAGGAGGCAGGCAGCCTCAGGTTGGGAGCAGGCGGAGTGCTGGGCCTGGAAATGGGCAAAGATCTACGACTTGACTGTCCGCCATCCTCAAGGGCAGGAGCTGGCAGCGTCTGGACCTGGTGGAAGTGGCTGAGGGTGTCCGGGCCCAGGCTGGGGCCGCTGCAGGTGGCCTGCTGACCACTGCCACCCCCTGGTGGTTCCTTATGAAAAAGCAGCCCCACCCTAACCGGTTTGGCTCAGTGGATAGAGCTTCCGCCTGCGGACTCAAGGGTCCCAGGTTCGATTCCGGTCAGGGGCATGTACCTTGGTTGCAGACACATCCCCAGTAGGGAGTGTGCAGGAGGCAGCTGATCGATGTTTCTCTCTCATCGATGTTTCTAACTCTCTATCCCTCTCCCTTCCTCTCTGTAAGAAAGCAATAAAATATATTTAAGTAAAAAAGAAAAGAAAAAGCAGCCCCACTCCCAGCCAGGGGGCCTGAGAGGTGCCTGCCTCCCTCCTCCACCCACCTCTCCCCTGCTGTCTTCCCCCCGTGGCTTTGCTCTATTGCTCTGCTGCCTGGGAGAGCCTTGATCTGCGTGCACCAGGCTACAGCCTGCCCTGGCATCCACCGGCTGTGTGAGCCTGAGCCAGGGATGGAGCCACTCCAAGCCTCAGTGTCCCGCCTGGAAAATGGGGGCATTACTCCTGAGGGTGAAAGGTCACCCGTGTCAGGCTCCCAGCACAGCGCCTGGCCCAGCAGGTGCTGATGATGGGATGATGGTGCTGATGATGGTGGTGATGGTGCTGCTGCTGCTGCTGACCATCACACCTGGCACTCGATAGGTGCTCAGCCAGGGGCCTTGCTCGCTCTCTGCCCCATCGGGGAGGCCAGGCTGCACGTGAGACTCCGGTGGGTGCTCCTGAAACACACCCGTGCCTCCCATCCCAGACCAAGGAAGTCAGAAGTCTTTGGTGACGGCTACCGGCGGTGGCATTTCAAATTTTTAGTTTATTTTTCTATTTCTAGGGGTCTGTGTGAAAGACCCCAGGTGATACTAACGTGCAGCCCAAGGTGAGAACCACACTGGTGACCAGCCGCCCCGGTGACCTCGGACATTCCGGCTTTACCACTGAAAGGCCCACGTCCCGGGATCCCCCTCAGCGCTGGGCAAACCGGGAGGCTCGGTCACCAATCAGGACACACGGCCTGGGCACCGGTAACTAGAGAGCGACCGGGCTCGGCGCGGGGGGGCGGTCAGAGGCCACGGGGCAGCCGTGGCAGGAGCCAGGCCTGAGCGGGAGCGCGGCCGCTGGGCTCAGTCAGACAGGTCCCCGTCCTCGGGGTCGCCGGGGCTCCAGCCGCTGGCCGCCCGCTCCATGGCTTTCGCCCAGCGGCCGCACAGCTCCTCGGTGTCGGCCTTGAAGGTGTACAGCTGGCCGGACTGCTGCAGCTGGAAGACTCGGGGGTCCCCCTGGGGCCCCGTGGTCACCTGGTAGCCCAGCAGGGGGATGGAGGTGTGAGCCCGCATGTCCTGGGAGGGAGGAGAGAGCCGTGGGCCGCTGCCCTCCCATCCGGCCCCGCTGCCTCAGACAGTCACACACCTGCCCCCACTTCCACAGGCCCAGGAGGGAGGAGGGCTGGCGGGAGGGCATCAGGGGAAGGAGAATTGGCTGCCCCTTGAGGACAAAGCAGTTGTGCCCTGGAGTCTGGGCCCAGCCTTGAAAGCCACTAATCCTGTGGCTCCAGAGAACTATGTCCGCACTGGGTCTCAGTCTCCAAATCTGAGGTATGGGGCAACAATATCCCCCTCGCCCACCCCCACGTGCTGTGAGAAGGCCAAGGCCTGGGGGCAGGTGGGGGCATTACCTGGGGGGCCGCATAGATGTAGAGCACAAGGGGGTCGTCCCGGGGGATGACACACCAGCCCCGGGTGCTGCTCTTGCCCCACTTGTCCCCGACGAGCTGCAGGAAGCTGCCCATGAGGCTCCGCTCGGCCCCCGCCGTGGACCCCTTCTACAACCAGAGGACAGAGCCCGCGGTGTGACCGTGTCGCTCCGGGAGCCGGACAGTCACTATTTCCGGTCCTGCAGCCACCCTGCAGGGCAGTTCTTGGTCCCTGAGGCTCAGAGAGGTGCCATCATGGGCCTGTGGTCACCAGCTGGCCAGTGGCAGAGCTGGTCAAACCCTGGTCAGCCTGAACTGGGGCAGGTGCTGGGGGGCTTTTCACCTGAAAGTTCCCCCAGGGAACACAATTAGGGCCTGAGAAGGGGCTGGCCCTCCCCTCTCTCCAGGGGCGGGCTGTGTTGCCGAATGGTCAGCGAAGGTGTGACAGGGGCTGGACCTAGCACAATGGGGAGGACTGGAAGGCAGGCAGATGCCCATGGAAAGGAACCAGCTGGAAGCCTGGGAGCTGTGTTCGGCTGGAATAGGCTGGTCTTCTCCCCTCCCAGGGGCAGTGGGATGCCCACTGGCCTCTAGTGAGGGGGGCAGAGGGCACACTGTGCCAGGCCGGGTCACACTGTATTTGTAGCACGAAGCTGAATACAGCTAGCGCCCACAGGTGCTGCCCAGCAGCGAGGGAGCACCTGGGAGGGCCTGGGGGGGGGGGGTGAGCCACTCAGCCAGGCCCGAGGGCAGCCGCGAGGACGGCTGTGGGAGGCCATGGCGCTGGCTCCTAACTCGCTGGGTGACCACGGGCAAGTCACTGCCCTGGGTTCCCATGAGACAGGTCCCTGAGTCCCTTCTGGTTAGAATGGAGTCTCCCATCTGCCTCTTTCCAGCAGTGAGACCCTGACCTGGAGCCTCAGTTTCCCCATCTGTAAAATGGAATCGGTACCCCCACCCCCACCCCCGCCTTCATCTGCTGGGGGTGTGAGCAGGGACTGTTGGGAGAGGCTGTGCGGTCACTGGATGGGGACACAGGGAAGGTGGCAGGGCCTGGACGACAGCCTGGACCCAAAGCTGCTTTCCTGTGGGGACAGCTGGCTGCTGGGGAAGGGGCAGGAGGGGTTGCCGTGGGCAGAGGGAGGAGGGAGAATGTGGCCAGGCGGGCCACACCCAGGACAGGCGGGCCACACCCAGGACAGTGCCCACACGTGGCAGCCCCGCAGACCTTGGCTGAACGGAGGATGGCGCCCTCACCTCCAGGATGCCCCTCCTCTTGTCCTCCTTGTCCTCAGGGAGCACGTGGCCGGTGAGGAAAGTGTAGCAGTGGAGGCAGACGCGGTTGGGCCTGTTGGCGTCATATTTGAGCTCAGCCCGGTAGTCGGAGCACCTGGCGCACACCACCTGAGGGAGGAGGGCAGGGGGCCGTGGCCTTGGGTGAGGCGGGAGGACCATGTGGTACCTTGGCTGGGAGTGGGGGAGCGGGGGAGAGTAGCTGGGGAGGGGCAGGAGGAAGAAAGGCGAGGCGCAGAGAGGAAGGCAGACAGAGGGGCATCCCCGCTCAGGTGGAGAGCCTGCTGCCCGCAGCCCACAGCAGGAGGAGAGCTCAGGCTGGGCCTCCCCAGCGGGGGGGCTGACGCCCGGTGCCTCTGCCGGTGCCTGGCTTCTCTCCCCTCCAGATGCCCTGAGAGCAGGCAGCTGTCAACCCCAGCGCTTCCCTGCACTCCTGTGCCTGATCCCCTTCTCCCGGAGCTCTCAGTCCCCTCTGCCACCCACTCCCTCTCCCAGCAGCCAGGCGGGGCCTCAACTCGGGGCAGCCAGAGGGGCGGCCACTTGTCAGGGCCACACAGCTCACTGGCTGCAACTGGCCCTCCACGGACAGGACATGTCCTCCCGCAGTTTAGATTTAAGATTCATGCAAATTTTGCATTCCGCTCAATCCCAGAGCCAAGCCTGTTCCAGTACAAAAATGACGGGCTGGTTGTTTTGCCAGGAAGACCTGCCCTGGTGACTCCACCACGCAGAGGCCCCAAGAAGGCCGGGTGGATCAGGCTTGGGGCGACCGGGTGAAAGAGGCATGTTGAGGCTCGAAAAAAACACGGGGTGCTACAGGACGTGACTTCCAGGAAGACTGGGGTGCCACTGTGTGTCCAGGATGTGGGCTTGGAAATGAGGGCAAGAGAGAGAGGGGAGGGAGAGGGCTAGTCCGCAGTGAGCCCCTGGGTGTGCCCAGCTCAGCGGGGGACGGAGGGCCCGCCCTCGCCAGGATTCCCGTCTGGCAGGCGGGAGACAGAAACTGGGCACCCAACCACCGAGAGGATGACTCACGCAGTACAAAGGTATCCCAGGCGGGAGGAACCCTCGCCGGGCCAAGGGCACCTTGCATCCGCACACTGGGGGCTTCGACTACCTTGGGGGTATTTTACTTTATTTTTATTGAGATTTAATTGTTAAATGTTATTAGTGTGTATTTCTTTTCTCCTCCTCCAACTTTTCATTTTGAACAATTTCAAACCTGCAGCCGAGGTGAAAGAATAATTCAATGATACTCCCCCACCACCCAATCCCCAACTGTTAACATTTTTACCTCTCTCTGTATATGTGTATTTTATTTTTTCTGAACCATTTGAATGTAAATTATAGTCATCGTGACGCCTCACCCTTAATTATGCAGCTGGGATCTCCCAGGAGCTAGACTAGAGCACGCTCCTGCCTACACTCACTGCCAGGAGGTTTCACACGGACAGTGTCATTATGAAGGTGTGGCTCCCATCAAGCCCCGCCCCTCCGTGTCCCAGCAGCCACCTCCGGAGCTGCTGTTGTTTCTGATCCAGGATCCAGGACCATACACTTCATTTAGCTGTCAGAATATTTTATTGCTCCCGTGTACCTGCCTCCTGGGTTGTTATACTGTCCTTCGTGCCTGTTTGTACTTCTTAACTACTTTAAATATTTTTTTAGGAACTACTTACTACATCCCAAGTGTGAATGGACTCCGGTCTTATTTACGGACGTGACTCACCGAGAACAGTAGCTAATCCCCGGACCCGGGATGTAACTCTCTTCAGGCTCCACATAGGCATGTCCCAGTCCTAGACATTCGCTGTGTTCTGATTGCACTTTAACACCATTCGGGGACACCTCCCTGCCCCAGCCTGCCCAGCTGGCCTCCGGTCCCCATCCCCAGAGTTCATTAACACTGAGGTCCGCTTCTCTGTTTGCAGAGAGGGGTGTGTGGGGGGGGGCTGTGATGTCAGCAGAGAGAACTCAGTGCGGCAGGTGTTACACAGCCGGTGAGCTCTGCCTGCAGGGACAGGCCCCTTCCTCCTTCGCCTGTGACTCGCTCCTCTGAGGGGCCTGAGCTCTGGGGGCGGGAGGAAAGGAGGAGGAGAGGAAAGGGGCACCTTCCTTAGCCCAGGCCTCACCACCGCCCTGGAGGCAGGCATGATCATCCCACTGCGCAGGTGAGGAAGCTGAGGCCGAGGCTGGGCGGGAGAGCTAGCTACAGAACTCAGATGCTGGAGTGCTGAGGGCTTGGGAGGAGCGGAGGGGACAGCTAGTGAAGCGAGTCATGAGGAGAGGACGAGGGCGTCGTTACAGGCGTGGGGCTGACGAGGTCGGAGAAGGGCTGGGGCTTGCATGTCCCTCCCCCTGACACTGGAGACCATGGTCTGGGGGCCTCGGGACATGGTAAGGGAGCAGGTGAGTTAATAGGGTCACTTTGGGGAGTGTCCTGAGCACGTAGTTTAGGGGGAGGGTGCGGGTCCTGCTTCACCAGTGGGCGCTGTGAGGTCCAGACAGGCCCCTCCCACGCCTGGCGCAGCTCATGCCAGCCCCTCTGGGCTGCACTGGTTGGAGCGGGCTAGTCGGCAGGGAGGGGGTGCTGGCAGGGGCACTTACGTAGCCGCAAGCCCGGCAGTGGTGGCGGCGGCGCGTCAGGGCGTTGAAGGGCTCCTGGCAGCGCATGCACATGGTCACCATGTTGTCCCGGACCCACTGTGGCGCCCGCAGGCCCAGCTCCTCCGACTGCAGCTGGGGGCAGCAGGGTGGGCACTTCATCACCCTCTTTTGCCCACTCCGGAGCCCGGGCCCTGCCCACCTGCTCGGCGAGATTCATGTGGGCTTCCCAGTGCCTCACCCCCGGGGAGCGGACTGAACGGGAGAGGCCACAGGGCAGCTCGGTTACTATCGTTCCCATTTCACAGGTGAGCAAACTGAGGCCCAGAGCAGTCTAGTGACTCCGCACAGCCCCCCAGCAAGCCAGCGTTCAGGGCTCAGGTCTGAAAGGAGTCATCCTCTCCCTGACCCCCCCCTCCTGCCTCCACCTTCCCCAGGGCTTACATTTCTCTGGTGCTTTCAACCCAAACCTGCACCCCCAGCGCCCTCCCAGCCAAGGCTGCGAGGCTGAGCCCTCCCTGGGGCTAGGTGCCTGGAGGAGGCTGAGGCCTCCCTGGGGCTAGGTGCCTGGAGGAGGCTGAGCCCTCCCTGGGGCTAGGTGCCTGGAGGAGGCTGAGCCCTCCCTGGGGCTAGGTGCCTGGAGGAGACTGAGGCCTCCCTGGGGCTAGGCGCCTGGAGGAGGCTGAGCCCTCCCTGGGGCTAGGCGCCTGGAGGAGACTGAGGCCTCCCTGGGGCTAGGCGCCTGGAGGAGGCTGAGCCCTCCCTGGGGCTAGGCGCCTGGAGGAGGCTGAGCCCTCCCTGGGGCTAGGCGCCTGGAGGAGGCTGAGCCCTCCCTGGGGCTAGGCGCCTGGAGGAGGCTGAGGCCTCCCTGGGGCTAGGTGCCTGGAGGAGGCTGAGCCCTCCCTGGGGCTAGGCGCCTGGAGGAGGCTGAGGCCTCCCTGGGGCTAGGTGCCTGGAGGAGGCTGAGCCCTCCCTGGGGCTAGGCGCCTGGAGGAGACTGAGGCCTCCCTGGGGCTAGGCGCCTGGAGGAGGCTGAGGCCTCCCTGGGGCTAGGCGCCTGGAGGAGGCTGAGGCCTCCCTGGGGCTAGGCGCCTGGAGGAGGCTGAGGCCTCCCTGGGGCTAGGCGCCTGGAGGAGGCTGAGGCCTCCCTGGGGCTAGGCTAGGCGCCTGGAGGAGGCTGAGGCCTCCCTGGGGCTAGGCGCCTGGAGGAGGCTGAGGCCTCCCTGGGGCTAGGCGCCTGGAGGAGGCTGAGGCCTCCCTGGGGCTAGGCGCCTGGAGGAGGCTGAGGCCTCCCTGGGGCTAGGCGCCTGGAGGAGGCTGAGGCCTCCCTGGGGCTAGGCGCCTGGAGGAGGCTGAGGCCTCCCTGGGGCTAGGTGCCTGGAGGCCGCCAAGGGGATTGTTTGCTGGTGGGAACCTGTGGCTCTGAGTCTCTGACAGGGTGCTGCTGGGGTGGGTGGGCTTCCCCGGTCCCTTCAAATCACTCCTGGGTGACCCCCCGCCCTCGGAGCTGCCGGGGAAGCTGGCGGCTCCAGGCCGGCGGCTCCAGGAGGAACACTAAGTCTTCCTTACCTCCTGGCCCTGGGCGGCTCCCTCGGGGCCCTGCGCCGCAGCCTTGAAGGTTTCATTCCGCTTCTCGATTTGGTCAATAGCTGCTTGGCAGGCCTGGGGGGGGCAGGGAGCCGCTAAAGGGGGGCAGGGGGCCTGTTCATCGGTCCATCCACCCACACCCTCGGCAGACACTGCTGAGAGCTGCTGGGCGCGGGATACTCAGCGCACACGGGCTGACTCCAGGGGAGAAACCCTTCCCCCCAGACTACAGATGTGAACACTGAGGCCCAGGGGTGTGAGTGACTTGGTCCAGGCCACCCAGCTGGACAGCGAGAGGCAGCACCATTCTAACTCAGGTGCGACTCCAAACTGCCACAGGGCAGCTCCGAGGAAGAGCAGGGAGCAGCGGGCACCCGCACAAAACCCACCCCGCCCCGCCCATGCATGCGCCCTCCCCCGCCCCCCCCCCTCTGCCTGGGTGGTGGGTCAGAATCCCAGGGGCCCTGGGTTGGTCTGATACCTGCATCCAAGAAATCATTTCCTCCTGGGACCTGCTCGGAAAGTGAACACGGTGTTGAGATGGGCCCTCCCACTTCGCCCCCCCCCCCACCCCGCCCGCAGCCGCCGCCCACCTGGCCTGCAGCTGCAGGGTGCGCTGCTTCCCGGACACCAGGAAGGAGTGCGGGAACTCGGTGTCACTCAGCTCCCGCACCTGCTCGGACACAGGGAGGGCGTTCAGACTTGCCCCGCGCCCACCGGGCACGCTGCGGTGGAGGGATGGGGACTGTGCCCAAGGGGCCCTGCCAACGCCAGGGAGAGGGCTGGGAGCTGGCTCATCCCTCCCTGGTCCCTCCCTGGTCCCTCGGAGCCAAGCGAAGGCTGCTTACGGCTCCTGGAAGTTGAGCAGCAGCTCAGTTGGCCCAATGTGAGGGCGGGGTGACAGCTCCTGACAAATGACTCATCAGAAATGGAAACTGGGTCACAAATCGGGCTTGGGGACACAGCTTTTGCCAGAGTAGACGTAGGGCCTAGATAAGACCCTCTGCCCCAGCGGTTCTCAACCTGTGGGTCGCGACCCCTTTAGGGGTCGAACGACCCTTTCACAGGGGTCGCCTAAGACCACCGGAAAACACATATATAATTACATATTGTTTTGTGATGAATCACTATGCTTTCATTATGTTCAATTTGTAACAATGACATTGGGGGTCACCACAGCATGAGGAACTGTATTAAAGGGTCGCGGCGTTAGGAAGGTTGAGAACCACAGCTCTACCCCATACAGCGAATGAAGGAATTGGTTACCCAACTCATGGATCACACAGAACCACCTCAAACGGATCCAAGAACTGGGCGGTCGATTCCTTCTTGCCTTTCGCCATCCTCTTGCCCCAGGTCCCAAGGCCGTTGCGAAAGCCACCAATCAGAGAGCTTACTCAGTGGGGCCACAAGTTCAGGGCTCTCCATCCACGTTCCCACTCCATCCCTGACACGCTGAACCCGCTGAGCAGCCCTAACACTCAGCCATTCCCTGCCTCCCGAGGGCAGCGTCTCTGTCTCTCCAGCTGCGGGCTCCCGGCATAGCTGACTCCGCTTAGGTCTCTGGGTTATCTACCAGTTTACAAGAACCACGTGAGCCGTGGGTCCTGTTAAATGACCCCCCGAGGTGCAGTCAGCGACATCCAGGCTATGAGAGACTCCACCAGAGAAATTATCTGATTTTTCAATAAATAAATGAGGAAAAAAGTGGGAAAGGGAAGTGTAATGGACTGAAAGGGACGTAAGAAGCATGCCACAAATGATTCAAACAGATCAGCTGTGAGAAGACGTGAGCCAGTCAAGGAAAACCGAAGGATCTTAAGATTATTAAATAATTGTTATAAATTTGTCAGAGGTGATAATGGTACTGTTGTCATCTTTTAGGCAAAAAAAAAAAAAGTTCTTATCTCTGACAGAGACATACTCAAGTACTTCCAGGTGAAATAATTATGTGACTGGGATTTGCTCTTAAATAGTCCAGGGGAAAAAGGGGATTAAGAAGTGGAATGCTGAGCAAACCAGACTGGCCCTGAGTTGGCAATTGCTGAAGCCTGGTGATGAGTATATGTTCTCTCATTATTGATGTTTCTAGCTCTCCCTCTCCCTTCCTCTCTAAAATCAATAAAAATATTTTTTTTAAATGTTCATTATAAAAAGTTAAAATCTTCACAGCAATCTTGGGAGGCAGATATCATCACCCTCATTTAGGAGATGAGGAAATGGAGACTCAGAGAGGGCAAGAGACCTACCTGAGGGCACACAGCATCTAACTGGCAGAACGAGGATTCAAACTTGGGTTTTTGGACCCCAAGGATAAAATGGAAGAACACCTGTTTCCAGCCAACCCCAAGTCCTGTAAGCACGGTCCTCTCCCAGTGGTGTGGAGTTACCCAGGGAAGCTCCGAGACAGACTTGGAGCCCAGGAGCCCTGGCCTGGGGAACTTTGTTGTCATTGAACCCATTTGACTGGCCCCCTGCCACGTGTGACCTTTCAGGGCGGCTCACCACATCCCAGAGAGCATGGCCCTGGGAACACCCTTCCCCACGCTAGGCCCAGGCTACCCTTCGGGCCCACAGAGCCAGTCGGCCTCCCTGGTCACGGCCTGATGTGATTGGACTGACACTCTGGGCCACCGGGAAACTCTGAGAGTTTATACATGGAGACGTTCAGGTGGGAAGAGGTGTTGGGCAGTCACTCTGCAGTTGTGTGTAAGGGACGAAGGGCTGCTTTGGGGGGAAATGGGACAACCCAGTAGTCCCAAAGGCCAGCCAGGGAGGGGTGCCCTGAATGGTGGAGGCCGGCCTGCACCTGGGGAGCAGGAAGAATTCCTACTGGGGGACAATATCAGGAAACCCGGCCAGACTCCATGACTAATTGGTGAGGGCGAGGGGAGGGGGCAAAGAAGGGAGAAGCCCAAGGTTTGGAGTCCAGAGGTAGGAAGAAATCCGATGCTTTTCATAGAAACGGGCAGCTCCTGACCTGGGGGTCCAGGACCACCGGCCTTTGCCCAGGCAGGATGGAGGCTTCTAGAGGACACCTTCCTGATCCCAGTCTCCACCTCCCCCAAGTCTGGGCTGGGTCAGGCCCCTTTGTGTCAATTAGCACAAGACCTCGCTTCCTCAAAACACCTTACTGACATCTGTTGGCAGACAGGCATAATCGTCAGGTTTGGTTGGAACAAGATACTTGACTGCCCTCTGCTGGCCAAGGAGGGTGGTGACTACTCCGTCTGTGCGGGTGGCTGTGGATGAGGTGTGCCCGTCTTAGGTGAGGTGTGTCCGACAGTGAACGCCTTCCCAGCTGTGCATGGAGACCCTGGGGAGTGTCTCACATCCCCCCTGCTTCCCGGGCTGGCCCTGGGCAGGATGGCACAGCATTAGGACCCAGTTGGACCTCGGGGACAACCAGCTGCTGAGAGCGGTCCTCCCTGACATCCAGGAGAAGGCCAGGGGGCGGAGGCCAATGGGAGCATCATGGTGGCTGAAGGCCAGACCTGCCTTCAAACCTCAGGCTCCGAAAATGGTTCCCATGCAGACACGGGAGGGTGGCCGGCCCTGCGCCTGCCAGGCCTGTGCCATCCAGGAGAGGGCGCTGTGTGGCTGCTGAAGCACAGAACCCTCTGTGAGGAGCTCGCTCTCTGGGACTGGCACACGCTGGGCCAAGAGCCCGAAGTGTCTGACAGCCTCAGCCCCATCGCTATGTAGTTTTTCTGATGACTCTTTGAGTCTCCGTGTTTCTTGTCTTTTCTATCTGTCAGTCTCTGCCTCTTCTTTCCAATGCCTGGGCTTCTGCCAGTCCTAAGACAGGGCTGCCCGTCTCCATTTGTCTGTCTATATAACTGCTCACAAACCTGCCTTTCTCGGTCTCACTCACCCAGGCACCGAGAAATACAAGCCTGCACATGCACCAGCATTATCTAATCCAAAACCAGATAAAGACACCACAAAGAAAGAAAATTATAGGCCAGCATCCCTGACGGACATAGGTGGAAAAATCCTCAACAAAATATTAGCAAATCGGATCCAGCAATACATTCAAAAGATAACACACCACGACCATATGGGATTTATTCCAGGGATGCAAGGTTGGTGCAATATCAGCAAATTAATTAATGTGATACATCATATAAACAAAATGAAGGATTAAAATCATATGGTCATACCAATAGATATGATCAATAGATATCAATAGATGCAGAAAAAGCATCTGACAAAATTCAGCGCCCTTTATGATAAAAACTCAGCAAAGTGGGAATAGAGGGAGCATACTTTAACATAACAAAGGCCATATATGACAAACACATCTAACATCATTCTCAATGGGGAAAAGTTAAAAGTGTTTCCCTTAGTATCACAATAAGATAGGGATGTATTTAAAAAAATCTTTTCTTTTTTTAAAAAATATATTTTATTAACTTCATAGAGGAAAGAAGAGGGAGAGAGGGATAGAAACATCAATGATGAGAGAGAACCATCAATTGGCTGCCTCCTGCACGCCCCCTACTGGGGATGGAGCCCACAAGCTGGCATGTGCCCTCACTGAGAATTGAACTGGGATCTCCTGGTTCATAGGTCGATGTTCAATCACTGAGCCGCACCGCTGGCCGGGAACCACTCTTTTTTTGAGAGAGAGAGTGAAAGGGAGGAGAGACATCGTGAGCGAGACACATCAATTGGTGAGATAGACACATCAATCGGTTGCCTTCTGCACATGCCCTGACCATCAGAAGCACATGCTCGCAACCAGAATCGAACCCGCAACCCTTCTGTCCAAGGGCCAACGCTCTAGCCACTGAGCCAAACCATTGAGCATGTCAAACTCATGCCTCGAGTTTGACATGCTTGATCTAGGGCAGTGGTTCTCAACCTTCTGGCCCTTTAAATACAGTTCTTCGTGTTGTGACCCAACCATAAAATTATTTTCGTTGCTACTTCATAACTGTAACGTTGCTACTGTTATGAATCGTCATGTAAATATCTGATATGCAGGATGGTCTTAGGCGACCCCTGTGAAAGGGTCGTTCAATCGCCAAAGGGGTTGCGACCCACAGGTTGAGAACCGCTGGTCTAGGGCTTTACCACTCTTATTCAACATAGTACTGTAAGTCCTAGCCACTCGATCAGACAAGAAGAGGAAATAAAAGATATCCAAATCGGAAAGAAGTAAAGTTGTCATTATTTGCAGATGACATAATACTGATATATAGAGAGAGAACCCTAAAGATTCCACCAAAAGGCTACTAAAACTGATAAAGGAATCCAGTAAAGGAGCAGGATACAAAATAAATATTCAGAAATTGGTTGCATATTTATACACCAATAATGAGCTATCAGAAAGGGCAAGCAGGGAAACTAAGAAAACAATCCCATTTACAATTGCATTAAAATGTACCTAAGGCTAAATTTAACCAAGGAGGTAAAAGACCTGTACTTGAAACATTATAAAACACTGAAAAAAGAAATTGAAGAAGATATAAATAAATATATTGTGCTCATGGATAGGAAAAATTAACATCATTAAAATGTCCATACTACCCAAATCTATAGATTCAATGCAGCAATTCTTATAAAAATACTAATGGCATACTTCACAGAACTAGAATAAATAATCCAAAAATTTATATGGAACTAAAAAAAGACCCCCAATAGCCACAGCAATCTTGAGTTGGAGGA